CAGCAGCTCCACATCCCTCTTGTACTGGGGAGCCCAGAACTGGACACAGTCTCCAGATGTGGCCTCACCAGGGCTGAGTAGAGGGGGATGATCACTTCCCTCGACCTGCTGGAGACGCTTTTCTTAATGCACCCCAGGATCCCGTTGGCCTTCTTGGCCACCAGGGCACACTGCTGCCTCATGGTCAACTTGTCGTCCACCATGACACCCAGGTCCCTCTCTGCGGGACTGCTCTCCAGCAGGTCCACTCCTAATCTGTACTGGTGTCCAGGGTTATTCCTCCCCAAGTGCAGGACCCTGCACTTGCCCCTGTTGAACCTCATGAGGTTTCTCGCCGCCCAGTCCTCCAGTCTGTCCAGGTCCCTCTGGATGGCAGCACAGCCCTCAGGGCTATCAGCTACTCCACCCAGTTTGGTATCGTCGGCAAACTTGCTGAGGGAGCACTCCAGCCCTTCATCCAGGTCGTTAATGAATAAGTTGAACAGGACCGGACCGAGAACTGACCCCTGGGGGACACCACTAAGTACAGGCCTCCAGTACAGGCCTCCAGTTTTGCCTTACTACTACTCAAAAGATATGGTTAGAGCCAAACAGAAAAACCATACAGCTGTTAAATTACTGGTTTTRCATCTCAGGATGACTGCTGGCTTCATTACATGTTACACTTGACACTTGCTGTATGACTGTACCTATTTGTATTATCCTATTTATTATCCTATTACAACACAGTTTGCTTTGCCAAAAGCTCATCTGTGACTTTGTACAAGGTCTTTCAGTCTGAGTCTATTTTACCAGGCCATCTAGACTTAGATAGAAGTTTGAAAATTATTAACGATCAAGAGATGCTCTTTGAAACACATGGATGGTGTTTGGATTCTTTTTTTTTTTTTTTTTTTTTTTGTTAAATAGGGTAATACAACAGTGAGGGAAGAAAAAAGAAAAAAAAAAAGAAAAAGCCCTATTAAGAGCTTATTTAAGTAGACTACTGTTTAGCAACACCAAGTAGTCTGATTCTCTGTCAGGAACAGTAAATACTTCTAAGGGCAATCTAAAAAAAAGCTAAAACAAAGAGATACATTAGAAAATGAAATTTATTTTGTATTACACTGCAAAGGCACTGAAAACGCAGTAGGACAAAGGGCATCTGAAATTGTACTATTATATGAGCAACCAGTGAACATTCAAGACTAGTCTTAAGAGAAGYAAAGTCTCCAGGGGTGGAGAACGTATTCTGCTTTTGCAGAAAGCTGATTTCATCCCTGTGAATGAAACCAACAGTCTTCATAAACTGCTCTTGTTTCTATTTAGCTTGAGGGTGACTAAGAATCTGTTTTGATCGGTTGCCTGTAAGGACCCAATGAAGTGTTCCRCTTCAGCGTTTCTTTCTTTCTTGGTTTAGCAACAATTTCAGCTAATTTTTACATGGATCATGGTTCAAGTTTCTGACTCTGGTTTCTGCTAGAAGTATATAACATTAACAGGTATCAACATGATCTGAAATGCATGCAGGCCCAGTCAGTTTTACTAGCTCTGGATTTTGAAGCAATCCAGTTCCCACATCCTAGTGTGGATGCAACAGAAGCAGGGAGCACAATTAAGCCAGCAGTTAATTGGGACATCCTGGTTTTGAYCATTTTTTCCCAGAAGCACTTTCAGAATTAGGTAGAGTGCTTTGCTGTGGGAGGTCAAGAGCAATTCAAGGTGTGTGCTCAGACAGTRCTTGAATTTTTGTTCTGTGTCCAGCCTTTCCCTAGAGTCTAAAGCAGTGATGAGGGTATGTGATCTAAAACTCTATTGAGTTTTAAAAGAGCTTATCATCTAGAGTGCTGCTGTTTTCTGGGACTGACACATGAAACCAACAGGAAGCCAATGTATAAGATTCTTTATTTTTCCCATTTTTTCCATGTTTTATTTGTCTGCTATTAACTTTCACAGTCACACAAACTAGCTACTAGTCATTGAATAAAGAAAAACTGACATGCTGTGAAAATGGAAATATAAAATGGAGAGCAGGAGTCATTACTGCTCCCTTTGGATTAAACTGAATTTAAGTATTAGAAAGCCCAAGAGAGAAGCCTGAATTTTTGGACAGGTGGCAAAGCAGTTTCTAGGGACGAAAAGAAGAGAGAGATTATTGCTGTTGCAAATACAAATGTATAGGAGCCATCTTCACATTATTCAGAGGGASTGGGCATAGTGTTTGAATCAATCAGCATCATGAATGTGGGAGTCAGGTGCGCTGCAATGCACTTATTGGATGCTCCAGGTTTTTTGGCTCTCTAGGAAGAGGAAGAAGTGTGGGAGCAGCACACAGGGCTTGGAATTACACAGCTTGTAACCCAGCAAGCAGCTGAGTACCAGTTTGGGGGGAGTGGTAGCTTGCTCTTATAGACCCAAGGAAATTATTGCTGTAATGAGTTAAGAGCAGAGATAATCAGCTGCGGTCACAAAAGGCACCATTTGCCAACTGTGAGATGTCTCCCATTTGACTTATAGAGAAGAAATTCCTATTGTACGTTGGTTAATACTGTGATAGCTCTGCAACTATTTATATTATATTTCTTTTAGTATAATGGGTCAGGCATAAAAAGAAATAGGTAAATTTGTTACTTGGGTCCTATTTAGTAATAATTTGACAGTCTATAAAAGAAAACAGTTATGATTTGAATCCATTCAGTATAATTTTCAAAGCCATTATGATTAGCTTTTGCTACCATATGCTAGAAATATGCAAATTGCCATCTTGTATAATCTCTTAAATCAGATATTTTTACATTAATACATACATTATATTCGTAAACATTGTGCATGTCACATTGCTATAAAAAATAAACAGTGAAAAATTTGGAACAAATATGTTTTCTTTGGTGTAAAACCTTCCCATTAAGCATCCAGTTTTTCTGTTTGGAGATCTTTATTTATTTACCCACTTGTAATGAAAGTCTCAGACATGACAATAAGAAAAAAAAATCCTAAGTTATTCACACTCACATTATTGAATCTTAATCAAATTTTACAGTGCCAAACTATGCCACTTATTAATTATTCTTATCAAAAGAGAAATTATATTTAATCTCACAAAATAGTTAAGGCTTAAACATAGGTTACCATAATGAAGAGTCAAGAACCACACATGCACATAGTAAAAGATTTACCCTAATTCTAAAATCTATCCATGTGAAAATTTCTTCTCTAAAACTGAACTACGCAATATGTAAACACCTGGGATGGTTATTCTACTTCTAGTATTTTTAATCTTTAAAGTTCCCCTTTTAAAAGTGTTTCATTCACAGTGATTTTACAGTAGAGGTCCTCGCACTCTCCAAACTGGGAGACAAAAGGCTAAAATAGAGGATAATGAATCTCTGTAACAATCAATGCATCAATTCTTACTTCTACTGCTCGCTGAGCCAACACTGGGTCCACCTCTCGAAATGAATGTCTTGAATTTTCCCAGTAGTTTAAACTCCTTCAGCTTTGTTCCTGCAGGAAACCCTGACACTCCTCTTTCTATAGCATTTACTCRTTTGCTCTGCTGTTTTTGTCCATTAGCAGCAAAGGATAAACTATTTCTCCCTTTGAAGACAGAAATGAATTTAAACGGGCTATCCCCAAATAAGGTTTTGCTTCAAGGGCACAGACACAGAGATGAGGGGCAGGACTGGGCATACCCCCGCGCCCTAGTTCTCATATTAATTCTGGCTTCTTCAATTATCTTAGGCCACTCATGCAAGTTCTGCCCCATAGACCTCTGCATCAGTAATTTATTTACTTGCGAATCTCAAGGTTTGCTGAAAGCCTGAGCTAAGCCTCGGTCCTGAAGCACTTGGGGAAATAACACTGCTTATGCCACTAATCCATTAAGAAGTTGCACAAGCATTTTTTTTTCTCAAGGAAGGCATTAACACTGCTAGATCTCATGATCTCTGCAGATCAGGCCTTTAAATTGTTGAGTACACTTGGTTTTACGTGTAGTAACGAAGCACCAAATATTTTGGAGCAACCTGAAATAGAAATAAATTAAAAAAACTGCAATACCTAAACAGAGGGACCTGGACAGACTGGAGGACTGGGCGGCGAGAAACCTCATGAGGTTCAACAGGGGCAAGTGCAGGGTCCTGCACTTGGGGAGGAATAACCCT